CCTGCTGAGCTTCAGTGGGCTGCCAGTTGTGAGCTGCAGAGTGATATGGCTTCTGGTCTTCACAATCTTCACAATACAGCACATTAACATCACACAGGACAACAGTAGGACCGAGCACAGTGAAGGGACACACACCCCTCGCCCTGCACAGTCATGGAGTTCATACCCTTCACTCACAGCACACACAGCTCGGCCTTCTCCCCCTGACAGGTGTCTCCCTCACCTTGCCATAACCCCCCTTGCCCAGCACTCGCAGCAGCTCGAAGCAGTCGGCCCCCACTCTCTCCGTCCCCACGTTCACACTGAGAGGGGAGAGCTCCACCTCCTCACACTGAGTCCTGAGAGAGAGAAGGGGGTTAATACAGTACAGACACACTGACTGGACACTCCAGTACATTAACACTGCACTGAGAGAGAGGGGTTAATACAGTACAGACACACTGACTGGACACTACAGTACATTAACACTGCACTGAGAGAGAGGGGTTAATACAGTACAGACACACTGACTGGACACTCCAGTACATTAACACTGCACTGAAAGGGACATACACTGAGTGTACAAAACGTTAGGGACACCTGCTCTTTCCTTGAAAATAGACTGTCGAGGTGAATCCAAGTGAAAGCTATGATCCGAATTGATTTCACCTGTTAAATCCACTTCAATCAGTGCAGATGAAGAGGAGGAGACAGGTTAAAGAAGGCGGAAGTGCCTTTGAGAACTGACCGGGTCGAAAATAAGCAAATCATGATTTGAATGGGGATTTGAATTGGAAGCTAAGATTTGAATGAAAGAGTCCGAGAGAGAGGAAGAGACACAACTACAAGGGGGGACATGCTAAGGGCATTAGCGGGTGGAGACAGACAAGGGTGAGGCCGACAGGCGATTACAGGATTAAAAAAATAAAATACCACGTATCAACAGATACTGCGCGCAACAGGTAGAGTGCACTACTGGGTAGCACACAGAGCCGTCTGCTTGGACAAGCAGAGATACTGTCCCCAGCAGACGGCCACAACTCCTTCTCTCCCAGCCCGGACTTGCCAGAACCAGCCAGGATCTGAACAGCAGGTTCGGGGGTCCCGGTCTGCGAATTTCTCCGAACTGGCAACTTCGGTTCCCCTAACGCGATCCTCAAGTTCGCTAGAGGAACGAGACAGACATAGCTCCCCTTTAGAGACGTGAAAAGTAAGAACAACGACAAGATAAATACCTTTGCAGGGTGATACGCGAAGCCGAGCCCTTGGGAAAGCAAGTAGTGAATTAAAAAACCAGATGCTGAGTGCGGGAAATGCCAACAACAAGGATGCAGAACGACTAGCAGGCGGGGGGAGGGGCTGTCGGAGCCACTTCCGATGGCCACTCCCTCTGCCCGGACTTCCGTGTCCTGTCAGGCGTGGAAGCGAATTACCGTATAACGTGGTATATAGTCGTCCAAGATTATTTTCCTTCAGTCTTCAGTTAACCCAATAGTTGAGTCGAGAATAAATCCTCTCGTTGTACTGATGACCTGAGAAGTCTCCATTTAATGTACCGTGTATTTCCTGGAGCAATCTGAGTGAAGTATCCTTATTCAAAGGGTCAACATCCCAGTCCAGTTTGGAACCCATGACCAATCCAATCATGTGCTCAGATCCCTAATCACTACTCCACCCTAACAGAACTGCTGCCTGGACGGGTACCTCAGCCCTAGACCCTCATATGAAGTGCCTGATGCTGTCCTGCTTAAGCCACTCGGGCTCTGTAATAATGTCTTTATGAGGGTGACCAGACGTGCTCCAGAGGGCTGGCATACAGTATCTGCAGCGCCCTATTCCAGCTCAGCTCTGAACACAATTACTGGCCTAACTGGGGCCAATTTACCAGCTTCTCCAGTATTACAGTATACAGTATTACTAGCTTCTGGCAGCATCAGAAGGTAAGATATAACAGGCCTGGTCAGACCTGGAATTACAGACCTCCAGTCAAATAAACCTCCAGTTTGCTGCAGCAGGTAGTGCTGATGGACCACTGGGTGGCGCTCCTACCTCAAGAACAGAATTTCCACATCAATGCCTCAGTATGGTGACTATGGGCACTGTGTTGTAGGAGGTACAGTCCTTCAGATGAGACATTAAACTGAAGTCCGACTTACTTGTTAATTAAAGATCTGTTAAAGGCTGTTCCTGAGGATATGGGTGTTAACCTTGGTGTCCTAGCTCAATATCACTCTGAGCTTGGACAGCCTGTTCTCACTAAAACCCCTCCTTAATCCGAATCATGAAGCAATCTGTCTCTTTCCTGTCTGATGTCCTGTGCAGCTAGGAAGCGGTGCTGTTATTCAGTGGCTGCTGTGCTACTCAAACAGTGGTAAATTCCTTTGAAATGCTTAAAGAACATAAGACTAGCTACAAACCAGAGGAGGCTCTGCGGCCTGTCTAGCCTTTTTTTCATATTTGGTAGCTAATTTATCTCATCCAGCTATTTTTGGAGATTATCCATGGTATTAATTGACCAGCAGCCATATCACCTTGCAACTCACAACTGGCAGCCCACTGAAGCTCAGCAGGTGTGAGTCTGGTCAGTACCTGGATTGGAGACTCCTGGCAAAAACTAAGGCTGCTGCTGGAAGAGGTGTTAGTGGGGCCAGCAGGGGGCGCTCATCCTGCAGTCAATGGGTCCCAATGCCCCAGTATAGTGACGGGGACACTATACTGTAAAAAGGCGCCATCCTTTGAATGAGATGTAAAACTGAGGTCCTGACTCTCTCTGGTCATTAAAACTCCCAGGGTGTTTCTTGAAAAGAGTAGGGGTGTTACCCTGGTGCCCTGGTGTTTACCAGTCATGGCCTCCTAATAATCCCCATCTATTATTTGGCTTCATCACACTGTTCTCCTCCCCACTGATAGCTGGTGTGGGGAGACTCCCACAACCCTTTGTGTAAAGAAGTGTCTTCTGTTTTCATTTAAAATGCACTTACATGTAATTTCCACTGGTGTCCTCTGGTTCATGTTTCACTGCTGGGTTGATTTTGGTAGTGGGTTTGAGGATTTTGAATACTACAATATGGTCCCCTCACACTCTGTTCATGACTTTGTGAGGACAAACAACAATTCATTATTATTTTTAAAGACTGTTCCTGCTGGTATTGCTTTTTGAACAACCCAGCATTAAAAAGGGACCACAGAATTGTTTTTGCTATAGTGAACAAAATTCCTTTGTTGGTGACAAATTCCTTTGCTCGTGACAGCATCCTACTGTAGGTGGAGGAATACACTTCAGTGTGTAGGAATAAAGCTGTATGCCCTTTATTCCTTAATCTACTTACTGATATTTATTTTTTTAATTTTTGGCTTGAATGATTAAGGTTTTATTAAAGAACACTGTTACACATATTACTTGTTTAGTTTTGTTTGCCTCTTTAAATACCCTAAATACTGTACAATGTGAACATCATTTAACATACAGAAAGTGTTTAGTTAAATAAACTGTAATGACCAGTAATTAAGACAAAAACGTAATACTGTTGTCACTGTAATGCTTTTGTGTTACACAAAATAAAGTGTGGAAATTATTGTGTGATTTATTTTGGGGGGATTCAGGAACAAATCGGGGGAATTATATATAATCTTTTAAAAAATAAAGTTTCAATTAATGATTTTTTCCTTTATGAACAGTTTCATGGGACACATTACGTTTTTAAATTGATTTCTGTACAGGGAGAAGCCGGGAGTCTCTAAGACCACAGGAGGGCACCCTGCTTGTTGCAGAGGTTGCAGAGCACAGCTCTGCAGGTAGCAGACAGCACACCTCGCCCTCTCACACACACACTCTCAAAGTACCCCCAGGGCTTGTCGTGTCTGAGACCCAGAGCACAGCAGCTCGCAGGGGACACCGACAGAAACAAACCCGTGACGACACTGTGAATCATACGTGATAGCGGGAAAGTCCTATCCCAGCAGCCTCCGGGGCAGAGGGGCTGCATAATTACCATCCTGGAAAGTTACAGGCCCCCATCAGGTGGGTATCCCCAACTGTCCCCCGCGCAGACAGTGTTCTGTCACCTCGCCGTTACATGGTGGGAGGGCTTCATCCAGCCTGTTGTCCAGGGGCGAAAGGAGGCGAAGACGTGGGGACTGTGATATCACCCCTGTCACTGGCGGTAGGTTCAAATCCCCGGTGAGACACTGTTTTTTTGCCCTGTGCCAAAATGGATAGGGCACTGGATTTCTACGCACTGATGGGAGTCCCATCCCACCAGAGCCACAGACAAGAGGCGGCCAGTCTGTTTGATAGTTTGACGCTAACTTTAGTGAGAAAAGCCAACATATCGGCTTATGCCACATGACTGGGCAGCTTGTTCCAGACTCCCACCACCCTTTGTTTAAAGAAGCCCCTCCTGTTCTCAGTTTTAAATGCACTTCCAAGGTCTACAGCTGCAGAGTCAAACAGACCCAGGGTCTCCCGATTTTCAGTCATGCTGACTTGCCCATAACTTAATTCTATTGATCGGTGGCTTAGTCAGAAGGGGTTAACGTACTGTCCAGATCGGTGCTCCCTGGAGCTTTGCAGGCCTCCTGTGCAAAGACTGCAAGTCTGTGGCTGTCTGGGAGCAGGGCCGCAGAGCCCTTCATGAGCCCAAGCTGTTGGCAGTGAACCAGACTGGCCAGGAGAGGAATCTACCAGTCTCTCCCACTTACTGGTCCAATCCTAACGCTGTCGCAGCCCAACATCTCTTCCTGCACACAGACCAGGGCAGCAGCATTTCTAGCCTGAGCAAAAAAAAAAAGACCATCTCTGCCTGCAAGGATGCAAAACTGCAATTTGCCAGCGCTGCAGCCTCCTCAGAGAAGAACTGTCTGATTGAAGTGCAAATGTGCTGGCGAGAGTGAAACTGACTTGCAGCCTGCAGGAGAGAGCAGAGAAACGAGCTGGGGTTAAAAATAAGACACCTGCTGTAGGCAGGAAAGCGCAGTCCATCTCTGCGGCCGTTCCTTCCGAGCCCCGTGTCAGGGGTGACAAACGGCGCAGCTGGTACAGTAACCACACAGGAAGCCGAGAGCGCGTACGGGGGCGAGAGTTCACACCTCGGGCTGCACGGCGCGCTCGGCTCCGAGGGCGAGAGAGGGAGAGGGGGTCAGGGGGGCGGGCTGGGGGCGGGGGTGGGGAGACCTTCATTCTGCACCGATGAAACAGCTCGGCCCGGGTGCTGCCTGGAGAGGAGAGACCTCTGAGGGAAACCTGTGCCCGGAGCAAACATCTGTCCAAGACAAATTAAAAACACTCGCCAAAGACAGGACTGAGTGGACAGCCTAACAGCATCTTCCCTGAGCTGTCAGCCTGCTCCTGGTAATCAGAATCCAGTAGATCACAGGCACACAAAGGCACAGGAGCTGTGGGACCATTTAGAGATACCAGTTAACCCAGCTGTGTGTGATTCCAGTAGATCACAGACACCAGCCTGTGTGTCTGTGAAGGGTGGGAAACTGGAAACTGGGGCACATGCAGAGAATACTGAGAGAGCATGGACACCCCACTCACATAATCAGTTTAATCAAAATAGCCCACGATAGTTTACAGCAAAAGCAAAAAGACAGGTCGACAATGGAGGAGGCTCTCATAGACTCAATCGCTTAGCTCTAGAGACAGTGCTGCACACAAGATGCCTGGTGTTCATCAGTGTGGAGTCTGGTTTTCATCAGTGAGGAGACTGTATCACCCCACTGTGTGGAATCTGGTCTCC